CTTAGTCTCCACTTCTGACTTCGGGTGACCTAATCTGAGTGTCCCTGTATTCTAATTTCTTATTGGAACTCCAATTATATAGGGTTATAACAGATATATTTGATTGAATCTGCCTTAATTACCCGTACAAAAACCCTGTCTCCATAAAAAGTCACATTCTTAGGGGCTTCGTGCTGAAATTAAAATAAGACTTGATAGGGCAATAATTCAGACCTTAACACAGAGTGCCTAGATTAATAACCTGCTGCATTTGTCAAACACTTCAAACAAAAAATCCATTAATTAAAAAATCTTATTTTGTTTTACTGAAATGTAATAGAAAGCACCCTTATACAGCATTTAATATTATTTCCAGAATCAAAGGCTGTGTACCACAAAATATACATAAATAAAAAGGACAGGGAAATGAATCACACCCTAGCAGTGTATGAGGAACTAACCCAATTTATTTATAAATTGAAATCACAATGACAATAATTATCAGATAAAAGTAGGTAGTTTTTTTTTCAAAAAGTTATTCAGATCTAATGTATACATACATACTGTTTTAAAGAAACACAGAGCAGCTGGGAGGTAGTGGCACATGCCTTTAATCCCACCACTTGGGAGGCAGAAGCAGGCAGATCTCTATGAGTTGAGTCCAGTCTTGTCTACAGAAGTGAGTTTCAGAACAGCCCAGGTTACACAGAGGAACCCTGTCTAGAAAAAGAAAGGAAATTTGAAACATGTTGACAGGTGTGTTTGTCAATATGCTATACAAACAACTATGCCTGTGCCTAATGTAACTGAGCCGAGCTACAAGTTGGGATTATGTGACACTGGATATCCTCATCATCATAGGGAAAAATCATTATTAGTGTACATTAATTAATGTCTATTTATAAATATGCACAGAGTGTATACACAAAATGATATATTCCAGAAACGTATTTATGACCAAACTTTGTGAACTTTGTGTTTATGTGTGAATTGGACAGTGTAAGCAAGGGGCACAGTAAAGAGACTACTGAGGTGGCTGTTCCAGGGTAAGGATGGAAGGTTTTTATTGTAGGTAAGAGAAAAAGAACATCCAGAGGCATCTGGAAGAATCCAGAATAATGAGAAAATGAAAAAGACTGGACATTGCCAAGGTTTAATGCAGGGCATGGAAAAGTTATGTGGGTTACAAAAGATAATGAGTAGCTGTGGGTAGGGAAGCCCATGATCTGAAGCAGCCTGGGAGTTTAGGAGAGGGGAGCAAGTGAGAAGGGCCAGGATCTAGACCTGGACTTTAAGGTGTTTAACAAATATGTGTGAAAAGGTACAAAAGCTCCCTGAGGGCCAGCAAGGGCTTTGATATGCAATCAGAAGTATATGTCAGTAGCTAGTCATTTGACCCTCAGGCAGAGACAATGGAAATAACTCCTTTGGTCTAACAAACCAGTTTCACTAGTTCCTGAGGAATGCTGACTTTTATCTAACCACCAGAAATTCTACTATATTTCAGTTTGAGCTAACCTTAGAAGCAATTTTGGAACAAGTCAGTGGTCCTGACTTTTTGGGAGGAAACGTGGTATATACTTTGGACCTTAGGACCTTATTATATGACAAAGCACATAAGAATTTCAGAAACAAAAGTACCTGAAGCAACAGTATGAGAAAGCCCAGAGAAAACAATGAAACAGGACTCACAGTAATGAACACAGGGAAATAAGAGAAATGCAAGTGGTGCTCCAGACCAAAACAAAAGCAAACAAAAAACAACCACCAACAACAGCAGCAAAACAAAAAAGCCCTGCAAAATTAAGCACAAATGAGAAAAGACTCAAATAAACACTCAGAATAAGAGAGGTGCACAGTTGGTTAACTCCCAGGTGCCAGTGCAGCTGCCGCCACCAGAGGACAGCAGAAATACCCACCAGCCCACCAGCTGCAGGACACCACCAGTGCTCCATAGCCTGCCCCGACACCATTTAGGACAGTCTTGTTGGGCAGACAAGCAGGCAGGCTGGTGGTTCCTCTCTCTGGGCTCTGGCAAGCCCTGCCCAGTCTGGGCACTCTCGCCTCGGACTTTTTTTTTTTAATATAAAATTAAATTAGAAACTAGGTTGTTTCACAAGTCAGTTCCAGGTCCCTCTCCATTTCCCTTCCCTCCTCCCGTGCCATCCCCCCTAGCCCCGCAATATCCCCTCATTTCTCCAGGGAGGGTGAAGCCCTCCATGGTGGTGTCCATAGTCTGTCATTTCATCCAGGGCAGGGCCTAGACCCTCCCCCTAGAGTTCAGGGTGAGAGTGCATCTCACATTGTTGGAGGGGAGTCCAAAGTCCATTTGTATACCCAAGATAAATACTGATCTACTGCCCAAGGCTCAATAGAGTACCTAGGCCTCCTCACTGACACCCACAATCAGGGGGTCTTGATCAGCCCCATGCTGGATTCCCAGACATCAGCCTGGGATTCAAGAGCTAACCCTTGTCAGGCCAGCTATTTCTGGGGGTTAAACCAACCCAGTCTTAATCCCTTTAGTCATCAGTCCTCCCTCTCTGTTACTGGCTTTCTTGAGTTCAGCTCAGTGCTTAGCCATGGGAGTCTGCCTCTTCTTCCATCAGCCACTGAATGAAGGTTCTGTTTCCCAGACTCTCTGGCCATGGGATTGTAGGCTGGCACTCCCCAGATGTATGTCTAAAATCCAACTATGAGAGAGTACATGCCATGTTTCTCTTTTGGTGACTGGGTTACCTCACTCAGGATGGTTTCTTCTAGTGCTGTCCATTTGCCTGCAATATCAGGATTCCATTGTTTTTTTTCTGCTGAATAGTACTCCATTGTATAAATCTACCACATTTTCTCTATCCACTCTTCGGTTGAGGGGCATCTAGGTTGCTTCCAAGTTCTGGCTATTACAAATAATGCTGCTATGAACATAGTGGAACATACATCCTTGCTGTATAAATGGGCATCTTTTGGCTATATGCCTAAGAGTGGAGTTGCTGGGTCTTGTGGTAAGTTTATTCCATTTTTCTGAGGAATCTCCATACTGATTTCCAAAGTGGCTGGACAAGTTGGCACTCCCATCAGCAGTAGAGGAGTGTTCCTCTTTCTCCACATCCTCTCCAGCATAAATTGTCATTGGTGTTTTTGATTTTAGCCATTCTGACAGGAGTGAGATGGTATCTTAGAGTTGTTTTGATTTTCATTTTCCAGATAGCTAAGGATGTTGAGCATTTTCTCATGTGCCTCTCAGCCATTTTAGACTCCTCTATTGAAAATTATCTATTTAGTTCTGTAGTCTACATTTTAATTGGATCCTTTGGTATTTTTGAGACTTGCTTCTTGAGTTCTTTGTAAGTTTTGGAGATCAGCCCTCTGTCAGATGTGGGGTTAGTGAATATTTTTTCCCATTCTGTGGGCTGCCTTTTTGTCTTGGTGACTGTGTCCTTTGCCTTACAGAAGCTTCTCAGTTTCATTTATTAATTGTTGATCTCACTGTCTGTGCCACTGGTGTTATATTCAGGAAGCGGTCTCCTGTACCAATTCGTTCAAGGGTACCACAAACTTTCTCTTCTAAGAGGTTCAGTGTGGCTGGATTTATGTTGAGGTCTTTGATCCATTTGGACTTCAGTTTTGTGCATGGTGGTAAACATGGATCGATCTGCATTCTTCGACATGCCAGCCTCCAGTTATGCCAGCACCATTTGTTGAAGATGCTTTCTTTTTTCTATTGCATAGTATTATCTTCTTTGTGAAAGATCAAATGTTCATAACTCTATGCATCTTATCAGACCACCATGCTTTAAAATAAGAATTCAACAACAACACAAAGTGCAGAAAACCTACAAACTCATGGAAATTGAATAATGCTCAACTGCACCATTCCTGGGTCAAAGAAGTAGTAAAAAAAGACATTAAAGACTTCCTAGAATTCAATGAGAATGAAGACACAACATATCCAAACCTATGGGACACTTTGAAAGCAGTGCTATGGGGGAAGTTCATAGCACTAAGTGGCCACATGAAGAAACTGGAGAACAGTTAACTAGAGAATTAACAGCACAGCTGAATGCTCTAGAACACAGAAAAGCAAAATCCTCCAGGAAGAGTAGACACCAGGAAATAATCAAATTGAGGGCTGACATCAATAAAGTAGAAACTAGGAAAACAATACAAAGAATCAATGCAATGAAGAATTGTTTCTTTGAGAAAATCAACAAGATATCTTTGTCCAAACATATAGAACAGCAAAGTGAGAACATGCAAATTAACAAAATCAGAAATGAAAAGGGGCATAACAACAGACTCTGAGGAAATTCAGAGAATCATCAGGTCATACTTTGAAAACATGTACTCCACAAAATTCAAAAATTTAAAGGAAATGGACGACTTCCTGGATAGCTATCACTTGCCAAAATTAAATCAAGAAGAGATAAGCAATTTAAATAGACCTATAACCCCTATGGAAATAAAAGCAGTCATCAAAAGTATCCCAACCAATAAAAGCCCAGGTCCAGATGGCCTCAGTCAGGAGCTGTGTGGGAAGGGACTGGCCAAGGGGACAAACAGAGTAGCACTGGGCACGTGGCGCACACAGGGAGGAGGACCCGGGCTGCTGTAGGGGCCAGGCATAGATTCGGAAATGAGCACAGAGTTGCCAGGAGGTGAGTACCTGAAAGCAGCCAGGGACCCCAGGCAGGGACACTCAGGGCACTGAGGTGAAAGTCAAGGTGGAGAGAGGAGAGGCTCTTTGCCACACTTCCCCTCCAAAGAGTTTAATGCCTGGGGCCATGGGCTCAAGAGTGGCCAGTTCTGGTGAAGCTGAATTCCTAATCCTGCTGGTTATCCACCACCCCGCTGGGGCCCAGGGAAGCTAGGGGAGCACAGCACAGCAGCAGGTGCACAGCCAGGTTTGTCCTCAGGCTTCTTGGGGACAGTTAGGGACCACCACAGGTGCTGAGGCTTCCGACCAGGAGAAGTTGGCCATTTGGCCCCTTAGCTAATGGTCTCTTCCTTTTTCCCCTCCTCAGCCATGGACCCAGGACCCAGCAACCTGAATTCCTGGAACCAAGGGATCGAAGGGCAACCCAACAGGCCCACTGAAGAATACCATGACTCTAACACCAACGAGGTTGCAGAACCCATCGCAACAAACGCTGCACAGGAAAGACCCAAGAGCCGATCTTCATCCCCTGCCCAAAATAGCATCGTGGGCTGCAGAATTTCCCACCAGTGGAAAGAAGACTGGCGTGTCACCTACTGGAAGGGAGTCGTTGTAGATCAAATGGCTATAAACCCCTCCCTATATCTGGTCAAATATGATAATGTTGATTGTGTGTATGGATTGGAACTTTATAAAGATGAGAGGATATTGTCCCTTGAAGTTTACCCCGAAAAGGTAGACACATCCCAAGTTTCTGATCCCATCCTTGCTAATACCATCATTGGCAAAACAGTGGATCACAGGTTTGAGGGAGAACATGGGATTTCCAAATTATGGAGAGGGCTGGTTCTAGGTGAGGTTCCGGTCATGAAGTCCTGGTTTTATATTACCTATGAAAAAGAACCAATCTTATATATGTACCAACTTGGTGATGATTTTAGAGAAGGTGATCTCCGCATTGTGCCACATGTAGAAGAACCTCCATGTAACTTAGATCTTGAAATTAGAGGCAAATATGTGGCATATGACCAGAAAGATGGGACCACCAAAATTGGAATGATAATCCACAAAGTTGATTCAAGACCCTCCGTATATTTTATAAAATTTGAAAATGATTTCCATATTTACGTTTATGATTTGGTGAAAAAAATCTGATTGACTGTCAAAGTGATGACTCCATTGTGGAATAAAGTTTTACTTTCTAGACACACAGAGACTGCTACTTCTGAGTGTGTTGGCAGCTCACCGTGGGCTTAACAGTGGGATATCCTGACAAATACACATTTCTGTGGGTATGGCATGCTGTCTGTGAGCACTTTGCCTTGTGGAAAAGGCTGGGAGTGTTCGGTGGGTGGAGCAGGGAAAGATGGAACAGCTGTCAATTCAGCCTGTGAGAGAAGTGAGCTCGTATTATAATCAGTCATCTAAAAATGGAATGGGACTTAGCTGGTCTGGTCTTGGGGGGAGGAGGAGAAGGAACTGGAGATGGGCTGTGGAGGAGGGGACAGGAGGAGGTGACTGCCTAGGGAGAGGTGGAAGGGAGCCAGAATGAGACAGAGGCCAGAATGAGGGGAGGGACAGAGTGAAGGAAGAAGAAACATGGGTTGGGAAGGGAGGAGCTGAAAACAGAGTGAACTTTCTGGCACCTTCTGGCTCCAGAAAGCAGAAGGACTTGCTAGAAGAATACACAGAGCAGTGTAAAAGAGGTACACAGTAAGGGGACTCAAGGTCTGCTTGGCAAGTAGGACCCTGAGGAGAGACAGCTCTGGGACTAGAGAGGCCAGGAGGATCCATGCCTAGGATGTAGAGACACCTAAAGGAGGTGACTGTGGGAGGAGCAATTCCAGGAAGCATGGCTTTTTGAGGCGTCCACATTCTTCTCTCTGTCTGTCCAGTGGTTACCTAGCAAATGAAGTACAAGCATTGGAGGGCCACTGAAGGGCCTTTCCACAGGGACTACTGGGCCGATGGAAGCAAAAGTCAAGTTTGTACCTGCATATCAGACTGGTCTGGTTTCAGAGAGTCTGACCCAATCTGAAGACTAAGCAAACTAGTGAGAGTTGCAGGCTAGGTCTGGGCAAGGGGCAAGTACTTCCTTTGGGAAAATGGATCATTGGTGAAGCCAGGAATATCAATCGTGTCAACGTCCTTCCTCTTGCTGGAAGAGTCCTTGCCTTCCTTGGGGGGGGCATCTGTTGGTTGCACCTCATGTCCCCATGGTCTGGAGAGAACTTGGCAGTCCATGCTCTGTCACAGCTGCCTGAAGCCACAGGTGGCTCCATTCAGTCTCCAGGCAAACAGAATCTGTCCCTCCTTAGGCATTCCATTCCAGTTAGATTCCCCACAAAGTCTATAGCAACTGACACCTTCTAGGTTCCTCCTGACCAAACTAGCACCCCCTTGATACTTAAACTCAGAGCCAACCCTAATGGAGATGTGTTGTGTGCACCTCTCCTTTTGGAGAGGGTGGTATGACCACCAAGAGATTGGGCAGGGCTGGGAATTGTGGCATTGCCTAAGTAATTCCTTGGGCTGTACACTGCCCAGTGGAAGGGCTGTGGTTTGCGGGAGGAAGAACTGGCAATGGCAGTAAAGGGCCTCACAAATGTGGAGTCCTGGACACGGGTCCTTGTCCTCCTCTTCTGCTCTCTCTTGTCATTCCCTGTCCTTCCGAAGTCCCTCTGAGAACACTGTATGTGTTCAGCCTCCTCCTTCAGCCATTGCCTCCGAAGAGAAGAGTCCTTCTGGTACCTGCTGCTGAGGTCTTCCTAGGGCTACACATGGAGTAGGCAAGGATCTCCCAGACACTGAAAGAAGGTGTCAAATCTCCTTGATGCTCACCACCTAGCAAGCATTGACTCTGTAGGCTCACTGCCTCAGCCAGCACCAGCAGGTCCCCCAGGGACCATTTCTGCTAACTCCCATGTTTTCTTTGATGTTTCTCTTTCTGTTGTGTTCTGCATCCAGTTAGACTTTCGGTGAGATCATATCACATAAATGCCTTGGAATAGAACCCAACAAGGATGCACGCAGCATCCTGGTGTGAGCAAGGGTTTGTATCATTTTAACCTGGGAAAGGTTTCACTTGGACATGTCTCCAGTTGCCCTGCATCACTGAAAATGCAAGCCCATGCCCTGGTGGGAGCTGAATTTGTAGCTTTAGGGCCAGACCCAGGGATGCTGGTCTGATTTCACACACTTGATCCCACAGATTCTCCTTTCATTTGTTTTACTTAGTCCCACAAACACTTGGGGCAGGCACTGTTCTGGACACAACAGTGAGCAGATGCAGCAGATGAACAGATCTTATCCTCATGGAGCTTTCTTTGTAGTGCATGGATGTGCATTGGCCAGGTATTTCATAAGTTAATATGAAGTGTTGTCATACTGATAAGGGATAAGATAAGGCACAGCAAAGCTAGTCGTGAGGAAATGAAATTCCAGGGAGAATGCTCTTTTCAGAGAAACACAGTGGACAGGAAAGTCCTTGTGGAGCCTGTAGATTTAGAATGAAAACGTGAAGGTGGTGAGAGTGACCCTTTAGCAGCAGTCAAGGAGAATGTGCATTCCAGGTAGAGGGATGACAGGTGCTGAAGCTCAGTGGCCACAGAAGACCTGGCATGTGTGAGGAGAAACACCCAGGAGGGCAGCAGGGTTGGAGCTGACGGAGGGAGGTAGAGCACTGTGGGGATTGATCCCTGAGAAGTCTCAGGGACAGGACATCAGAGAGCCTAAAGCCCTGCAGGTTACAACCTCTACAATGGAATTTTCCTTTACCTTGACTGAGAGGGAGAGATAGATGCACATGCAAAGCTGAAGAATAGTGGGAGTCGTGTTACAGTATAACAGGCACACTCTAGTACCTCTTGAAGACTGAGTCACAAACATCAAATGTACCAATTCCAAGTTCTGCGTGGATGAGAATGCATGCTACACAAGAACCCTGTGCCATCGGAGACCTCGGGTATACTTTTTTTGGGGGGCGGGTTCGAGACAGGGTTTCTCTGTGTTGTTTTGGAGGCTGTCCTGGAACTCGCTCTGTAGACCAGGCTGGCCTCGAACTCACAGAGATCCACCTGCCTCTGCTTCCCGAGTGCTGGGATTAAAGGCGTGCACCACCATTGCCCGGCAACCTCGGGTATTCTTGGAGGTAACAATTTCTCAAAGGTGATTCTTTTTCATTGGCTTTTAGGATTCTCGGCCCACTCAGTGAGGTTTTATGTCAAATACAATATTGTGTGCACTAGAGATGAGTCATTTATTAATATTTAGAAGCTTACTTACCCAGCTGAGCAGTCCATGCTGGCAATGCACCCATGGAGGAAAGAAAAGCTGAGCCAATGTAATATAAATCCTCTGGAGTAGTATGACCTTTGTGAATAACCTAAAGACTCTGAGAAGTTTAAAGATCCTATCTTGCTACCCCATGTGTGGTAGTGTGAATGGAGTTGTCCCCCCCATAAGCTCATGGGAAGTGGCAATATTAAGAAGTGTGGCTTTGTTGGAATAGATGTGGCCTTACTGGAGGAAATATGTCATTGTGTGGCTTTCAGGTCCCTGTATGAGCAAGCCATGCCAACTGCCTCAATCCACTTCCTGTTGCCTTATGATCAAGAGGTAGCCAGCACCAGACTTGGGGCATACAACTTAAATCCAGCACTTGGGAAGCAGACGCAGGTGGATCTCTGTGAGTCAATGACATAGACCAGATCTTCAACTAGTTCATAGGAAACTTCCACAAATTAAGTATAGGTACAATCGTCCAAACACAATGAAAACACTGTACGCCATATAGAGATGACCAGAAAAGAAAATGCCCAAAGTGTATCATACATAAAACATTAAGTTTACACAGCTAAGAATGTATATTGAAAGGTGTAAGAGGAAAAATAGACATCACATATGAAGGAAAACGTATCAGAGTGGCAGCTGGTTTCTGAGTGGAAAGAGTAGAATGGCTTTGAGGAATACACTTTAATTCCCAAAATACTGTGAGAGCCACATATATATCAACTGTGTATGGCATGATTGAAGGAGAAAGAAAAATGGCCTCCAGAAATCTTAACAGCCCGAAATATTCATATCCAACAAGCTAATGCGCGCACGCGCGCACGCGCGCACGCACACACACACACACACACACACACACACACACGGCACCACCAACTCAACCACAAGAATAACAAATAGCAGGAATCAACAGTTATTGGTCATAGATATTTCTCAAAATTAATAATCTCAATTCCTTAAGAAAAAGACACAGACCAAGAGAATGGATGCAAAATCAGGATCTGTCAGTCTGCTGCTTCTCAGAAATGCACCTCAAACATCAAGGATAAGCAGTACCTCAGGGTAATGGGTTAGAAAAGATATTCAAAGTAAATGAGCCAAAGAAGCGTGCTGGTGTAGGCTTTTTGATATCAAACGATGTATACTTCGAACCAAAACTAATAAGAAGAGACGGGGAAGGAAACTACATACTCCTTAAAGGAAAATCTCAGTAAGATGACAATTCAATTCTTAAAATCTATGCCCCACAACACAGTAGAGCTGTGTGGCCCTGCTGGTGTAGGTGTAGGCAAGATGAAACTGAGGACATGAAGGCAGGAGAAGCTCTCCCAGCTTTTGCTCATTGCTCCAAGGGGTGAACCAGCCAGGGCAATGCAGGGGCAATGCCAGAGTTCATATCCTGGTAGTGAGGAGAGAGGAGATGGGGGGAGAGGAGATCTGGCAGGCTCACCAACCCAGAAACTACACAGTTCTAGAACTAGTCTTATGAATTGGATCACGTCAACATATACCTTATCTATGATCTGCTGGAGCCCATGAAGGGGCCACTGGCCCTGAAGACCCAAAGCTGCCAGATCTCCACAACACAGAGCAACAACAGGATATCCAAAAGGAGTTCCAGTGAGTGTTCATTACCAGTAGTGTAGTAGAAACCAGAGGTTTCACACTAGATCAATGATTCTTTCCAATTAACACTTGCAATTAATTATATGTGGACTAAACTGTAAACTGTATGACTCACCATGTCAAATTACACTTTCCATCACAAGGTCTTCTTTCCTTCCATCCTTCCTTCCTCCCTTCCTTTCTTCATTTCATTTTTTCTTTGTTCTCTAAATTTTATTTTGTTTATGGGGACTGCTATGGCAAAGGATGGATTCAGAGAGACAGGGAGTTGAATGGGAGTGAGATGTGCAAGGTGAAGGACACAATGTATAAATATAAAGAAAGTTAAAACAAATCTATAGCCTAAACACAAGGGATCCAAGTGTGTAAAAGAAAAACTATGACAGCTTAAATCACATAGTGACCCTCACATTCTGATATTGGGAGACTTCAATAGCTTCCTCTCAACAAGAGACAGTTCATTTAGACAAAAACTAAGTAGACATCATGTCTGATGTCAAAGTGCTTTTTAGCTCTCCATCTGTTTTCAGGTTTGTTGGCTACAACAAATTTGTTTCTCTTGGGCTAGTTCCACCCCATGTTAGCAGCTTTCTTTGTTAGGTATCCCACAAATCTGGTATCTTCAGCATCTTGGGGTCTGCAAGGTAAACCAGACCTCACTTTCACAGTCTCTCTGAGCCTCCCTGTGGGGACAGCCCTGACACATGCCTGGACTTGGAGGTTTACCTTAGTCACTGAGGGAGATTCTATAACCCCCTTCCTACTGACTCTAAAGCCAGAATTATGTGGCTGAAACTACCAAGTTCTTCTTCTTGCTAGGGCTAGAATATTGCAATTTGATCAAATAGATATTCGCTAACTGTTTGTTATTGATGATATCCTTCACTGCAGAAGCAGAGCGGTCCTGGAACTCTCTTTGTAGATCAGCCTGGTCTCAAACTGAGAGATCTTTCTTTTTGAGGGGTACATTGAAAGGGTTACTCTGTATAATAACCCTGGCTGCCCTGGAACTCACTCTGTAGACAGGCTGGCCTCAAACGCACAGAGATCTAACTGCCTCTGCTTCCCAAGTGCTGGGATTAAAGTTGTATACCCCAAGCCTGCATGAATGTTAATATTTTTACCATCCAATGATCTTAGTTGGCATGGCTGAAGATTCATTATAAATATTAATCATAACTTTGTGTCTTAGTTAAGGCTTCTATTGCTGTGAAGAGACACCATGACCACGGCAACTCTTATAAAGGAAAAACATTTAATTGAGGCGGCCACTTATAGTTCAGAGGCTCAGACCATTACCATCATGGTGGGGGACATGGCAATATGAAGGCAGACATGGTGCTGGCTACCTCTTGATTATAAGGCAACAGGAAGTGGATTGAGGCAATGGACATGGCTTGCTCATACGGGAGACCTGAAAGCCACAGAGTGACATATTTCCTCCAGTAAGGCTACATCTACTCCAACAAAGCCACACTTCTTTTTTTTTTTATATAAAGGAAACCATTTATTTGAGGTATTGGCTTACAAGTTTTGAGGTTCGGTCCATTATCATCATGATGGGGAGTATGGTAGCATGCAGGCAGACATAGTGCTGCAAAGCCACACTTCTTAATATTGCCACTCCCCATGAGCTTATGGGGGCCAGCTCCATTTACACTACCACACTTGGGGTAGCAAGTTAGGATCTTTAAATTTCTCACAGTCTTTAGGTTATTCATAAAGGCCATACTGCTCCAGAGGATTTATATTACATTGGCTCAGCTTTTCATTCCTCCATGGGTACATTGCCAGCATGGACTGCTCAGCTGGGTAAGTAAGCTTCTAAATAGTAACAAATGACTCATCTCTAGTGCACACAATATTGTATTTGACATAAACCCTCACTGAGTGGGCCAAGAATCCTAAAAGCGAATGAAAAAGAATCACCTTTGAGTAATTGTTACCTCCAAGAATACTCAAGGTCTACCATGGCACAGGGTTCTGCCGCGCCTGCTGCGCAGCTTGTATCCGAGAATGTGGCAAGGATTGATGACACAGAGACCGGTCGGTTGCATTAAGAAAACTTTTAGCTCCCCAAATCGGCTTATGAGAACTTCCCAAGAAAAATGCTTCCCTTCAGAAAGACTTCTGCCATCCACACAAGCACAAATCTCCAACAGCCCTCTCACACATCTCTCACAGACCTCCCCTTCCTCCTGGCTGGTGGTTAAATCTCTGGCACCAGAATCTGGAACACCAGGGAGCAGGAAGAAGTAGCTGGCCATGGTGGGGTGATCAAAGTCAGGGTGTTTAAGTGACCTTATCAAGCCTTTGTCAAGCCCTTATCAGGAGCTTATGACACTGAATTGTTTTCAGTAAACATGTTTTCAGTAAACATTGTCTCACAGCTGCCTGCTCCCAGGCTGATCTAGGAGTGGGTTTCCAGCCAGGGTCTGTGATCCCCACAGAGTTCTTGTGTAGCATGCATTCTCATCCACTCACGACTTGGAATTGGTACATTTGATGCTTGTGCCTCAGTCTTCATGAGCTTAGAGAAGATTATCTGGAGGTGTCAGAGTGTGCCTGCTATAATGTAACACGACTCCCACTATTCTTCAGCTTTACATGTGCATCTATCTCTCCCTCTCAGTCAAGGTTAAGGAAAATTCCATTGTAGAGGTTGTAACCTGCAGGGCTTTAGGCTCTCTGATGTCCTGTCCCTGTGACTTCTCTGGGATCAATCCCCACAGTGCTCTACCTCCCTCCCATCAGCTCCTACCCTGCTGCCCTCCTGGCTGCTTCTCCACACACATGCCATGTCTTCTCTGGTCACTGATTTTTAAGCACCTGTCATCCCTCTATCTGGAATGCACATTCTCCTTGACTGCTTCTAAAGGGCCATTCTCACTACCTTCATGTTTTCATTCCAAATCTACAGGCTCCACAAGGCCTTTCATGTCCACTGTGTTTCTCTGAAAAGAGCATTCTCCCTGGAATTTCATTTCCTCACGACTAGCTTTGCTGTGCCTTATCTTATCCCTTATCAGTATGACAACACTTCATATTAACTTATGAAATACCTGGCCAATGCACATCCATGCACTACAAAGAAAGCTCCATGAGGATAAGCTCTGTTCATCTGCTGCATCTGCTCACTGTTGTGTCCAGAACAGTGCCCGCCCAAAGTATTTATGGGATCAAGGTAAAACAAGTGAACAGAGGATCTGTGGGATCAATTGCGTGAAATCAGACAAGTATCCCTGGGTCTGGCCCTAAAGCTACAAATTCAGCTCCCACCAGGGCATGCATGGGCTTGCATTTTCAGTGATGCATGGCAACTGGAGGCATGTCCAAGTGAAACCTTTCCCAGGTTAAAATGATACAAACCCTTGCTCACACCAGGATGCTGCGTGCATCCTTGTTGGGTTCTATTCCAAGGCATTTATGTGATATGCACTCACCAAAAGTCTAACTGGATGCAGAACACAACAGAAAGAGAAACATCAAAGAAAACATGGGAGTTAGCAGAAATGGTCCCTGGGGGACCTGCTGGTGCTGGCTGAGGCAGTGAGCCTACAGAGTCAATGCTTGCTAGGTGGTGAGCATCAAGGAGATTTGACAACTTCTTTCAGTGTCTGGGAGATCCTCGCCTACTCCATGTGTAGCCCTAGGAAGGCCTCAGCAGCAGGTACCAGAAGGACTCTTCTCTTCGGAGGCAATGGCTGAAGGAGGAGGCTGAACACATACAGTGTTCTCAGAGGGACTTCGGAAGGACAGGGAATGACAAGAGAGAGCAGAAGAGGAGGACAAGGACCCGTGTCCAGGACTCCACATTTGTGAGGCCCTTTACTGCCATTGCCAGTTCTTCCTCCCGCAAACCACAGCCCTTCCACTGGGCAGTGTACAGCCCAAGGAATTACTTAGGCAATGCCACAATTCCCAGCCCTGCCCAATCTCTTGGTGGTCATACCACCCTCTCCAAAAGGAGAGGTGCACACAACACATCTCCATTAGGGTTGGCCCTGAGTTTAAGTATCAAGGGGGAGCTAGTTTGGTCAGGAGGAACCTAGAAGGTGTCAGTTGCTACAGACTTTGTGGGGAATCTAACTGGAATGGAATGCCTAAGGAGGGGCAGATTCTGTTTGCCTGGAGACTGAATGGAGCCACCTGTGGCTTCAGGCAGCTGTGACAGAGCATGGACTGCCAAGTTCTCTCTAGACCATGGGGACATGAGATACAATCAACAGATGCCCCCTCCCCCAAGGAAGGCAAGGACTCTTCCAGCAAGAGGAAGGACATTGACACGACTGCTATTCCTGGTTAACCAATGATCCATTTTCCCATAGGAAGTACTTGCCCCTTGCCCAGAGCTAGCCTGCAACTCTCGCTAGTTTGCTTAGTCTTCAGATTGTGTCAGACTCTCTGAAACCAGTCCAGTCTGATATGCAGGTACAAACTTGAGTTTTGGCTCCATCGGCCCAGTAGTCCCTGTGGAAAGGCCCTTCAGTGGTCCCCCAACGCTTGTGCTTCGTTTGCTAGGTAACAACTGCCACCATGGACAGACAGAGAGAAGAATGTGGATGCCTCAAAAAGCCATGCTTCCTGGAATTGCTCCTCCCACAGTCACCTCCTTTAGGTGTCTCTACATCCTAGGCATGGATCCTCCTGGCCTCTCTAGTCCCAGAGCTGTCTCTCCTCAGGGTCCTACTTGCCAAGCAGACCTTGAGTCCCCTTACTGTGTACCTCTTTTACACTGCTCTGTGTATTCTTCTAGCAAGTCCTTCTGCTTTCTGGAGCCAGAAGGTGCCAGAAAGTTCACTCTGTTTTCAGCTCCTCCCTTCCCAACCCATGTTTCTTCTTCCTTCACTCTGTCCCTCCCCTCATTCTGGTCTCTGTCTCATTCTGGCTCCCTTCCACCTCTCCCTAGGCAGTCACCTCCTCCTGTGCCCTCCTCCACAGCCCATCTCTAGTTCCTTCTCCTCCTCCCCCCAAGACCAGACCAGCTAAGTCCCATTCCATTTTTAGATGACTGATTATAATATGAGCTCACTTCTCTCACAGGCTGAATTGACAGCTGTTCCATCTTTCCCTGCTCCACCCACCGAACACTCCCAGCCTTTTCCACAAGGCAACGTGCTCACAGATAGCACGCCATACCCACAGAAATGTGTATTTCTCAGGATATCCCACCGTTAAGCCCACGGTGAGCTGCCAACACACTCAGAAGTAGCAGTCTCTGTGTGTCTAGAAAGTACAGCTTTATTTAACAATGGAGGCATAATTTTGCCAATCAATCAGATTTTTTTCACCAGATCATAAACATAAATGTGGAAATCATCTTCAAATTTTATGAAATATACAGTGGGCCTGGCTTCAACTTGGTGAATCACCATGCCCACTCTTTTGGAGCCATCCTCTTTGGCATATTCCACATGTTTGCCTATCAGACCATCCATAAGTTCCAGGTCCAAGTCTGGTGGAGGACCCTCATTGATCTCTGGTATAATACGGAGGTCACCCTCTTTAAAATCATCCAGGAGCTGGTACATGTATAAGATTGGGTCTTTTTCATAGGTAATATAAAACCACGACTTTAAGACAGGCGCCTGGGCCAGGACCATCCCCCTCCATTCGTCCTTACAGCCATGCTCCCCCTCAAACAGATGTTCCACTGCTTTGCCAATGATGGTTTCAGCAAGGATAGGATCAGGGACTTGGGATGTGTCTACCTTGTCAGAGAGAAGTTTAAGGGACAATACCCTCTCGTCTCTATTAAGTTCCAATCCATACACACAGTCGACACCATCATATTTCACCAGATAGAGAGAGGGGTTTATAGCAATCTGATCCAGAACGGTTCCTTTCCAATGGGTGATGCGCCCGTCGTCTTCTTTCCACTGGTGGGAAATTCTGCAGCCCACGATGCTATTTTGGGCAGGGGATGAAGATCGGCTCTTGGGTCTTTCCTGTGCAGCGTTTGCTGCGATGGGTTCTGCAACCTCGTTGGTGTTAGAGTCATGGTGTTCTTCAGTGGGCCTGTTGGATTGCCCTTCGATCCCTTGGTTCCTGGAATTCAGGTTGCTGGGTCCTGGGTCCATGGCTGAGGAGGGGAAAAAGAAAGAGACCATTAGCTAAGGGGCCAAATGGCCAACTTCTCCTGGTCGGAAGCCTCAGCACCTGTGGTGGTCCCTAACTGTCCCCAAGAAGCCTGAGGACAAACCTGGCTTTGCACCTGCTGCTGTGCTGTGCTCCCCTAGCTTCCCTGGGCCCCAGCGGGGTGGTGGATAACCAGCAGGATTAGGAATTCAGCTTCACCAGAACTGGCCACTCTTGAGCCCATGGCCCCAGGCATTAAACTCTTTGGAGAAATGTGGCAAAGAGCCTCTCCTCTCTCCACCTTGACTTTCACCTCAGTGCCCTGAGTGTCCCTGCCTGGGGACCTTGGCTTCTTTCAGGTACTCACCTCCTGGCTCCTCTGTGCTCATTTCTGAATCTATGCCTGGCCCCTACAGCAGCCCGGGTCCTCCTCCCTGTGTGCGCCACGTGCCCAGTGCTACTCTGTTTGTCCCCTTGGCCGGTCCCTTTCCACACAGCTCCTGCCTGTTGCCCACCTAGGACCTAGTTTTGCCGGGCGTCTTGTGGCGCGGGTCCAGGAATCTGCACGCGGGGATCAGACAACCGCCTCCCTTAAAAGTCCAAGGCGAGAGTGCCTAGACTAGGCAGGGCTCGCCAGAGCCCAGAGAGAGGAACCGCCGGCCTGCCCGCTTGTCTGCCCGCCAAGACTGTCCTGAATGGTGTCCTGGCAGGCTATGGGAGCGCTGGTGGTGTCCTGCCGCTGGTGGGCTGGTGGGTCCTTCTGCTGTCCTCTGGTGGAGGCAGCTGCACTGCCACCTGGGATTCATCCTTCAGCTGGTGAGGCAATCGTAGTCCCCTCCCCTTTCCCAGAGATAATCTTCCTGGCAGGAGAGAAGAGTTCCTTTCCTGTGGTATACCCTCATCCACCGTGTTAAACTTCTGTTCTCAGAAATTGTTCGGGTGATTAATTAGTTCTGTCTACATGTCCTTGCAAAACCATTGTCAAATTGGGCCAGAACCCTGCTCTCTTCTTGGTTCCTTCAATTTATATCCTTTCAGGGGTTCTTTCCGTCTGCCTTCTGTCTTTCAGGAATTTGCTTTTTCTCTCCACTAATGCCCCCATGAAATTATTCTGTGTATACGAATATGCCTTCCTTTTCATTGGAGAAACTTTGAACGGAGATGTATGCTAGCACGTGGGCTGATGTTTTGACCTAGTCTCTGAAAGGTTCAGGCATTATGCTGGCCTGGCCTGTCACCTGGCAGAATGCACTCAGGCAGCACTCTTGTCAGGCCAGAGTTCCATGAGAACTAGTCTGCAGGCAGGTGCAAAGGACCCCTTTAAGAGACAGACCCCCCCTGTCCCCTGTGGGCCATGTATTCTCTCTTAACTCTTAGCACTCTCCACACTCTTCTCTTACCCCTTCTTCTCTCTACACCCCTCTTCTTGTCTGTCTCCCCCCTTTCTCTCACGCTGCTGTAATAAACTGGTCAGTGTACTCACTGTGGCTTGTGCTCCATTGCACCTGACCTGGTTTCCACCTTGCGCCTTGCGCCTTTCTTTTTTGTTTTGTTTGGTTTTTTTTTTGTTTTTGTTTTTGTTTTCTGAGACAGGGTTGCTCTATTGTTTTGGAGGCTGTCCTGGAACTTACTCTGTAGACCAGACTGGCCTCAAACTCACAGAGATCCACCTGCCTCTATCCCGAGTGCTGGGATTAAACGCATGCGCCACCACCGCCCGGCCGCTTTCGCCTTTCTAATTTTTCTAACTTTTAAACTTTTACAAAAGAACAACAGTCTCTACCTAATTTTTACTGACTGATCTTTCCTCGTCTTTCATTTGGATGTGTTTTCTCTTTTTGTTTTCTCCCGTTCCCTCTTTATTCTATGGAAAATAATCATGGTTACAGCTAGAACACTATGTAAATTTCTTGAAACTGACAGAAAGAACATAATTTCAGTCCTATCTTTCATTTCCTAGGCCTCAGAGCAAAATATTAAAATTATTTCATTTTCTTTTTTCCTATTAGTGCTTTCTAAGGACATAGCATATTTTAAAGTTTTTACTTAGTATATGATTATTGCTTATTCAATTGTATCAATTCAAATGTGTCAATTTTGATTTTGTATTGATCTGTTGCTCTCTCTCAGTACCTGAGTTTTGGAAGAATAGTTCCAAAATAACTCGTAATGAAATTTATTTATCAGAATGTAAACCTTTATGAGATAACCTTAAGTTCTGAGGAGGAAAATAGACAATTTATAATTTGTGAGTTAAGACTAGTTCTCTTTAACAAATACAAGAGTAACAATTTAATATTTTTATAAAATTGTGTACCATCAAGTCTGTTTTTGAGCTGATATTTGATTCATTAAAACTATAAAATATAGCAAAATCAAACAGCCAACAAGCAAATAAACAGATCCAGTGCTCTATCAACAATATGAATATTTAATATATATGAATGGTATCTGAAGCACAAAATATTTACTTTAACAGCCCAACTGGGTTTAAGGCAATAAAATGACTACGAAGTGGTAAAAGAAGAGTAATAATTTTGATTCAGCATTTAAGGTATAAGAGGATATTAACCTACTATCAATGTTTATTATTGATGTCTATGGCCAATGGCACCATAAGATTGTGCTCATTCTGTGTTTATAGACAGCAATCAGCAAGTATGCCACATTTTCTCTAAGATCAAAGCTAAAGCTCACGGGAGGAGGGGAGGGAAACAGAGAGGGACCTGGAATTGACATGTGAAACAACCTTGTTTCTAATTTAAATTTAAATTTAAAAGAGGTTGTTAGCAATAAACCTGAGTAATATGCCAAACAATTTATAATTTAAAAAAAAGCTAAAGCTCACATCTCAGATTATCCTTGAAATCCTAACTGTGGTGGTTTGGATGAAAATGACCCCCATAGGCCTATAGAGACTAGCACTAATACATGGTGTGGTCTTGTTGGGTAGGTGTGGCTTTGTTAGAGGAAGTGAGTCACTGGGGGCAGGCTTTGAGGTTGCAAACGCTCAAGCCAATCCTAGTGTTTCTTTCTGTCTCTTTGTGCTGCCTGCAGATCCAGGCATAGAACTCTGTGCTACCTCTCCAGCACCATGACTGCCTGTATGCCACCATGCTTCCAGTCATGATGATAAGACAGACCATGTTTTCATTTGAAGAAATATGGATTAGAAAAACAGTTGAGCCTGGTGGCACATGTCTTTAATCCCAGCATTCGGGAGGCAGACGCAGTCAAACCTCTGTGAGTTCAAGACCACCCTGGTCTACAAGAGCTAGTTCCAGGACAGCCTGCAAAGCCATGGAGAAACCCTGTCTCTAAAAACCAAAAAAAAAAATGAAAACAGTTGAACGCCTTAAGATTGTGAAGATATAAATGAACCAGGGGACCATGTTCCAGCCCCAGCAAGCAGAAGAACTTGGCAGCTTCTGTCATGTGGTTCTGGCTTTAGAGTCAAGGATACAAGAAAGTCATTTTGGAATCTTCCTTCATGACTAAGGAAAGTAGCTGAGGGCAGGCATTTGTCAGGGGTGTGCCTGAATGAAGACCAGGATAGGCCATTGTATGAAGCTGTGAAGTTGAAGCCTGGATTGCCTTGAAGACCCCAAGGTGTTAAAGATGCAAAAGTCGTGGGATACATGCTGAGGAGAACTACTAACAGGGAGTGGAACCAGCCCCCAAAAGTAGGTTGCAGTCAACGAAGCTGAAAGGAGTTGGAGATCTATAGAGTGCTTTGATATTAGACATGGAGATACAGAGTTTGGAGTTTCACCCAGCTGGTTTTCAGTATTGTTTTGGTTCCTTATTTCCTCACTATGTTCCCTTCCCTACATTTTGGAACAGTAATCTATATTCTGTGCCATTGTATGTTGGAAGAATGTGATCTGCTTTTTGATTTTGATTTTATTGGTAATTACAGTTAAGAGATTGCATGAATCTCAGAAGAGACATTAAACTTGGGGCTTTTAAACACGTTTGAGACTGTTATAGACTATGGGGACTTCTAAAGTTGGACTTAATGCATTTCTGCATTATGATATGACTACAAGCCTGTGGGAGCCAGGGAGAGGAATGTAGTAGTTTAAAAGAAAATGATCTCCATAGGCTAATATTATTAAGAGGTATGGCCTTTTGGAGTAGGTGTTGCATTGTTGAACGAAATGTGTCGCTGGAGTCAGGCTTTGAGGTCTTAAATGATCAAGTCAGGCCCAGTGTCTGCTGCTTGATGATCCTAATGTAGAATTTTCAGTTCCTTCTCCAGCACTATGTCTACCTGAAGGCCATCATGCTTACTGCCATAATGATAATGAACTAAACCTTTGAACTCTATAAGCTGCCACCTCAATTAAATGTTTTCCTTTGTAAGAGTTGCCAGGCAGTGGTGGCACACGCTTTTAATCCCAGCACGCAAGAGTCTGAGGCAGGGGCAGGCGGATCTCGGTGAATTTCAGACCAGCCTGGTCTACAAGAGCTAGTTCCAGGACAGGCTCCAAAGCCACAAAGAAACCCTGTCTCGAGGGGAAAAAAAGAGGTGCAGTGGACTTGGTGTCCCTTTACATCAATGGAAACCCTAAGTAAGACAGAAGTTGGCACCAGAGACTCAGGTATTGCAGTGATGGGACAGACCATGCTGTGATCACATTGCCTTTTCAAAACAGTATAAACCCCAGCTAAGACAGGGGCTATTATCCAGTGTCCTTCTTAGCAGTTGGACCCTATCTTTTGGTCTTTTTTGTCTTTCTGTGTCTGGTATATGTCGCTTAGCATAATATTCCACAATCCATCAATCTGAAATCTATCCTTAAGAGGTGAGATCAAGTAAGAGATTGTGTCATTGGGCATATGCACTCAAAGGAGATAATATACATTCAGTACCTTTTCTTCATTTCATGTCTAGCTATGGGACAAATTGACTTCCACCCCTATAAACACACACAATGGTACATTGGTCCATCAGGGGCACAAAGCAGTGGAGTCAATTTATAGTGTGTTGAAACCTCCAAAACTATATATTCTTTTTAATTTGATTTGTGTTATAGTAATGAAAATATGACTAATATAGTAGACAAAACATAGTTTCATTTATTTAGGTTTTGACGAATATTTGTGTTGTTCTATACTGAGCTATTATGAAGAATGATGCTGAATATATTTGTGTACATTTTGTGCATGTTTTATTTAGACTTTTTTTCTCTTAAAATTTAAATTAGAAACAAACTTTCTTCATATATCAATCCCAGCTCCCCCTCCCTCTCCTCCTTTCCCGCCCCCCCCAATCTCTCCAGCTCCCCACCCAATCCCCACTCCACTCCCCAGGGAGGGTGAGGCCCTCCATGGGGCATCTCCAGAGTCTGTCATTTCATCCAGGGCAGGGCCTAGGCCCTCCCCCATGTGTCCAAGCTGAGAGAGCATTCCCCAATGTGGGATGGGCACCCAAAGTTCATTTGTATGCCAGGGATCAATACTGATCTAGTACCCAAGGCCCCATAGATTGCCTAGGCATCCTCACTGACACCCACATTCAGAGGGTCTAGATCAGTCCCACACTGGCCTCTCAGCCATCAGTCTGGGGTTCAAGATCTCCCACTTGTTCAGGTCATCTGTTTCTGTGGGTTTCACCAGCCTGGTCTTGACCTTTTTGCTCATTACTCCTCCCACTCTGCCACTGGGTTCCAGGAGTTCAGCTCAGTGTTTAGCTGTGGGTGTGTGCCTCTGCTTTCATCAGCCACTGGATGATGGTTCTAGGATGGCATATCAGGTAGTTGTCAAACCCATTATCAGGGAAGGGCATTTAAGATAGCCTCTCCATAATTGCTTAGTTTGCCGGTTGGTGTCATCCTTGTAGATCCCTGGAAATCTCACTAGTGCCAGATCTCTCCTCAAACCTATAATGACTCCATCTAGTATGGTATCTCTCATCCTGCTCTCCTCTATTCTTCCCCCCACTCAAACTTTCTGATCCCCCATGTCTTCCTCTCCTGCCATCTCCCACTCTCTCTTTCCCAGCTCCCTCTCCCATCCCTGTGGGAACAACACACCTTGGCCTGAGTCCCACGTTCCCATCAGCCTGGGAGCAGGCAGCTGTAACCGACCACAGAGAAGACATATTTACTAAAAACATGTTTACTAAAAATAATATGGTGCCTGTAAGAAATGTTTACTGGAGCAATAAGTTCCTGATAAGGGCTCACCCACGGGAACACCCTGACCTTGACCTTTTCCAATGACTAACCGCCTCTTCCTGACCCCCACCACCACACCTGGCGTCATGGCATATAAGCAGCCAGGGTAAGAATAAAAAGAGGGCCTTCTTGAAGCTTTCTTTGCACCACCGACTGGTCTCTGTGTCATCAATCCCAATACCCTCCGCACATTCTCGGACACAGGCTGCGCAACAGGGCGCAGCACATCCCCCCATGTTCCCAATCTGCTCAGGATATCTTGTCTCATTCCCCTTAACTGGGGGTACCATGCATAGATCTCTCTTAGTGTCCTCCCTGTTTCCCAGACTCTGGCAGTGGGATTGTAGGCTGGCACTCCGCTGATTCATGTCTAAAATCCATATATGAGTGAGTACATACCATGTTTGTCTTTTTGTGACTGGGTTACCTCACTCAGGATGGTTTCTTCTAGTTCCATCCATTTGCCTGCAAATTTCAAGATTCCGTTGTTTTTTTTTTTCCGCTGAGTAGTATTCCATTGTGTAAATGTACCACATTTCTTCTGTCCACTCTTCTGTTGAGGGGCATCTAGGTTGCTTCCAGGTTCTGGCTATTACAAATAATGCTGCTATGAACATAGTGGAACAGACATCCTTGTTGTATGAATTTGCATCTTTTGGGTATATGCCTAAGGGTGGAATTGCTGGTTCTTGTGGTAGACTGATTCCCATTTTCCTGAGGAATCTCCATACTGATTTCCAAAGTGGCTGTATGGGAGTTGACACTCCCACGAGCAGTGGATGTGTTCTCCTTTTTCCACATCCTTTCCCTCATAAACTGTTATTGGTGTTTTGATTTTAGCCATTCTGACAGGAGTGAGATGCTACCTCAGAGTTGTTTTGATTTCCATTTCCCTAATGACTAAGGATGTTGAGCACTTTCTCAAGTGTCTCTCAGCCATTTTAGAATCCTCTATTGAGAATTCTCTATTTAGTTCTGCAGCCCACTTTTTAATTGGATCCTTTGGTGTTTTGGAGACTTGCTTCTTGAGTTCTTTGTAAATTTTGGAGATAAGTCCTCTGCCATATGTGGGGTTGTGATTATGTTTTGCCATTCTGAGGGCTGCCTTTTTGCCTTGTTGACTGTGTCCTTTGCCTTACAGAAGCTTCTCAGTTTCAGGAGGTCCCGTTTATTAATTTTTGATCTCACTGTCTGTGTTACTGGTGTTATGTTCAGGAAGTGGTCTTCTGTACCAATTCGTTCAAGGGTACCTCTCACTTTCTCTTCTATGAGGTTCAGTGTGGCTGGATTTATGTTGAGGTCTTTGGTCCATTTGGATTTAAGTTTTGTGCATGCCAATAAACATGAATCGATCCGCATTCTTCTACATGCCAGCTTCCAGTTATGACAGCACCATTTCTTGAAGATACTTTTCCATTGTATATTTTTAGCTTCTTTGTCAAAGATCATGTGTTTGTATGTGTGTGGGATAATATCAGGGTGTTCAATTCAATTCCGTTGGTCTACCTCTCTATTTTTGTGCCAATACCAAGCTGTTTTCAGGACTAGAGCTCTATAATAGAGCTTGAAGTCAGTGATGCTGAGCTTGAACAGGGTTGTTTTGGATATCCTGGGTCTTTTGTTTTTCCATATAAAGTTGACAATTGTTCTTTCAAGGTCTGTGAAGAATTGTGCTGGGATTTTTATGGGGATTGCATTGAATTATTTAGATATATTTTTATTTCTCTCTGATTTATATTAAGGGAAGGATTGTTTGGACATGTGGTAGTTCTGTTCTTAATTATTTGAGGAATCACTAGTGGTTTCCAAAATGATTGTGAGATTTAATATTCACAAATAGTTGCATTTTCTCCAAGCCCTCAACAACTGCTATCTGATGATTTTTCATCATTGCTATTCTACTCTGTGCGATATATTGCCTCATTGTACATTTCCTTGTGATGTCAAACACTTTTTCAGGCACTTTATTAATTGTTCTTTAGATAACTGTATATTCAAATAATTTCCCTATTTTTGTTAGGTTGCCTTTTGTTGTTAAGTTGTAAAATTTCTAAATATAAATATCAGATACATGAAAAAGAAATATTTTATCTTATTGTGTGCTTTGTTCTTTCAGTTTCTTTATCGTGTGCTTTGAAACATAAAGGCTTCATTTTGACAAAATACAATAAATATAGTCTCTCATTTGTTATTTACTTTATTGCGGTCATATCTGAATATACAATGCCAATCCAGGATAATGGAGTACTACACCAAAAGAACCAGCTTCTGAGCTGCAAGCAGGGTGCAGAGAAAATCTCCACACCATTAAGAACTTAGGAGTTTATCCGAGAGATTTCAGGGGAAAAAAGGAAACATGCATATGCTTTTCTTGAACAGCAACACTCTCTATTCTCCTATGTTCAATTGTGCCAGTTTCTTCCAGCTCTCTTTGTTCTTCACAGCTTATAAAGACCCACAAAATCTTTCAGGCATTACATCTGAATGCCACATTCCATTTCTCAAGTACACGATAAGAAATAGAGTCCTCTAGGCAGTTCTTAAGCAATAAATCCAAATTAATTGTCACAATAGCAAGGAAGAAGCATTTTCTTTCAGTTAACTCCCTAATTAGTGGGCTGCTGCTACCTGCAGCTGCAAAAGGAAAAGTCTTTTTGTTATTTATCTGTAGAGGTAGCCTTATAAAACTAAACTACTAAGGAGACTAAAAGAAATAAGGAAATTGTGTGCTGTATCCTATACTATTAAGTGTATAAACATCTTAAATATTTTATGATGAGTTGTCATAAAGGCTGGACTTCCTCGGACTGGAGACTGTTTACAAAGAGCAATGTATCCTTAGAGAGACTGCAGCTGAGCTGAGTGACCCTTTGCAATGGGAGCTGCAGGGCAAGGGGTATAGAGGCATGGCAGATAAGCTTCCTTAGCATTTTCCAAGGCGTGGTAACATTAAAAGCATTTTAAATCTTACGATATATTTTTCTGTCCTGCATGTAACCCTTGACAAGAAGGGAGACTTGTAACTCTTTTTCAGGGCTATGAAGTTAGTTTATATTTTGTAGCTAGCCATGGCCAGTTAGGGAATCTTTTTCTGAGTCTGAACAAAGGCCATAAAACTGAGGTTAGAATTTGTACAGAGAGTTAATCACTGTCCTCTGGCACAGCACTTAAGTTGCTTTGCACTATTTACCTTGGCTCAACAAATCAGACTGCGGCCTACATGTCCTTGTAAATAGGATTTGTGTGTGTGTGTGTGTGTGTGTGTGTGTGTGTGTGTGTGTGTGTGTGTGTGTGAAAAGTTTATCTTAAAACCCAATTAGATAAGAACCTGATCTGATCTGGGGCTATTTCGAAGTTTTATATCAGCCAATAGTATATCATTATGTTGGCAGGTGGGAAAAATACAGGTATTTTCTTAAGCTGTGCTACAAGACAGTTCTTAATGGGAATGTATAATCCCTGATTTGGGCAGCATGTTTTATTTAGTTTATTCATCATAACTCTGTATATGTTAACATTATTAATATCAATTAGACAATACAGTTAAGGAGAAGTCACTTTCTTAACAATCCACAGAATAAAATGCCTAGTAGATGAGGAATGTATTCGTTCAATGCACATACACTGAATATACGCTGTGAGGGATTCCCCAGGACTTCTGGGGAAATAAAGCAATTTAGCACATGTGTAAAATTACAGACAGAAACAACAGATATTCTGGATTTTGTATATTTTGCAGGCTTTGCAAAAAACAGAGGTTCCCTCCATCATAAATTATTTTCTGGTGGGGTGACACTTTGAACATCAATTGTTACATCCTGTTTTTATGCCAACATGGCTCCCAGCAACGTATATTTACACTTACCTGTTTGTAAGAATTTTATTGTCTCAAGCCCTTACATTTAAGTCTTTAATACATTTTGAGTTCATTGTCACATGCTGGGGAGGTAACATCCTAACTTCATTATTTTTGCATTTGACTACCCATTTGTCATATTATTTGTTCTACTAGTACCATATTGAAAAGGCAAGAACAGACATCTTTTTGTTTTCTTTTTGACCTGAAGGGGGAAGTAGTCAGTCTTTTGTCATTAATTGTGATATTAGCAATACTTCATCAGGAATGGTCTTTATGAAATCTAAAGACTTCTTATCCCTTCAAGTGATCCACCTGTCTATGGAGGGCAAACAGTAGCTTGAGTTGTTGGGAGTTTTAATGGGGTCCCTTTGTCCAACAATTCAATTAGCTATAACCCATTTCTGGCACTGTAGGTTTCACTTGGTGGCTAGAGATGTATTGTTGGGTATTTGTTTCCTCCATTATTTGGTGATTCAATTTAGATTTCTTTCATATGTGTAAATATTTTACGAAGCTTCTATTGTAGTAAGACCCCTAAAATGGCCCTTACTGTTATCTTTCACTCCTTATATTCCCTCCTTACCCACCTCTGCCCTCTCCCCTCTCCTTTTAATCCTCCCATGACTCTGTTCTTGAAGACTGCATCTACATATCTCATTGAACATGAGCAAATCATGTTGGTGCCTATCTAGAGTCTTCATGCTTACTGACTAGTGTTCATTGTACTGAAAGGAACTCTGCATGCTACCAAAGGAGAAAGGTAAACATTAACCTAGCAAACAACCTTGTGATCAACAATGGTGACATGCCTGCATGATATGAAGTTCATACAGTGCAATAATGGGACTAACGAAGAAGTAACCAACCACTCTCTAATTGGATTTAAATCTTACTCTATGAGATGGAACCCATGCCCAACATTGCTTAGATGGCCTAGAACATGAGACAGACCATGCATCCAGGAGAAAATCCAATACTATTGCTCTTCTAAAAAGGAACACAACAATAAAATGAATCCTGATGATATTCTGCTATACCCACAGATCAGTATCTCACTCAGCCATTAGCAGAGAAGTTTAAACAAGAACTAATACAGAGATCTACAACTGAATTCTAAGAATGAGAGACCTTGGAACACTCAGTCTTAAATAGAGTGTCTGCACCAAATCCCTCCCCATAGTGGTCAGGGAATTCTGTGGAAAAGGAGACAGAAGGATTGTCAAAGAATCTATGGGGATGGGAGACATCAAGGAAACAATGCCTTCCCAACACAGCAGGAATGATGTACATATGAACTCACATAGACTGTGGCCTCCATATGTCCAAGACAGATGGGCCAGGAGCTAAGAGGGGAAGTGGGCGTAAGCTCCATTCTTAACCCAGAAGCTATATTCAAGTGTCAGCCATTCTCAAAGGAAAAATTGTTTTCTTCTTTCAGTGGTACACAAACCACACTTAAGGGCAGGCCTCATGCCCAGAAAATTGATGGCCAGGCCCAAACAAACTCAATGATATTTTTGAAGATTATTTTTGTCTTGTAGTTCTTTGAGCATTTTTTTTACTGTATTGATATTTTATTTATGTATATGGTTTCTGTTTGTTTTCTAAAATATATGAAATTGCACTTCCTTTTATATTTGCATTTCTCTATTGTTTAGTGATAGTGGACATCTTTTACAAATATTTGTTGGTCATTTGTGTATCTTCTTGGGAGAAGTGTCTATTCATATCCTTTGCCCACTTTTTAATTGGTTCATTTGATCTCTTTCTGTAAAGTCGAGTTCCTGATGTATTTTGAATATTCATCCATTATCAGATGCTTGCCTTACAATTTTTTCTTAGCTCTCTTGATCAGTTTATTTTGCTGTACAGAAGCAGTTTTAGCTAATGTGATTATATTTGCATATTTTTATTATTGCGAGTAGAATCTAAGAAAATCATTACTCAGACAAATATGTAACTTTCCAAATGTTTTCTCTTAGTAGATTTACAGTGTCATGTTTTAAGTTTATCTTTTTTGTTGTTATTTCTTTTTTTAATTATAATTTTTTTATTATTTATTTTTAAGTTTAAATTTAGATTAGAAACAAGGTTGCTTCACAAGTCAGTTCCAGGTCCCTCTCCCTTTCCCTCCCCTCCTCCGGTGCCCTTCCCCCAACCCTCCATGGGGGTGTCCATAGTCTGTCATTTCATACAGGGCAGGGCCTAGTAGATTTACAGTGTCATGTTTTAAGTTTATCTTTAATCCATGTGAAAATTGTTTTAGTATATAGTATTAGATAATGGCTCAATATTATTGTGCATATGGATAAGCAGTCTCCTCATTTTGCATTTTTGGCATCCTTGCTAAAACAACATAACTACATATGCTCACTTTTCTGATCCATTTGTTGGTGAGTCATTTTGCATGCTACTGTCACAATGTTTAATTACTCTTGCTTTGTGCTACAGCTTAAAATACGGTAGTGGGATTGATGTTTTCAGCTTTGTTGGTTTTGTTCATGACTTTATTTGATATTCAGCATGTTTGTGATTTTCTGGAACGTTAGAATACTTTTTTGTCTATGAAAAATAGCATTGATAGGTCGATAGTGATTCCATTGACTTATATTGGAAAATACGTATATTTTAACAGTACCTTTGTTTCCTTCAACTTTATGAACATTTTATATAGTTTTCAATGTATAACTATTTCCTCTCTGTGGTTATATATATTTTAAATATTTGTGAAACTCTTACAAATGAGATTGTTGTCTTGATACTTTTTCAGACATTTTATTATTATATAGTATAGAAACACTACTCATTTTTTAGTGTTGAGTTTGTATTGTGCTACTTTACTGTAATTATTAGTTCTAGCAGTTTTGATGAAATCCTTAAGGTTTTCTATATAAGATCATGTTGTCAGCAAAAAGTCGTGTTTTACTTCATCATTTCTCATTAGGATATTTTTTATATCTTTCTTCTGCTTACTTGTTTCAATCAGGACCTTCAATATTGTATTGAAAATATGTGGTAAATGTGGATAGCATTGCATTGTTCTGGATCTTAGAGGAAATGCCTTGAGCTTCTACCTGTTGGGTATGATTTTAGCTGTAGTTTTCTCATATGTGGCTTTCAATGTGTTGATGATAGCTCCATTTGTCATGTAGTGCCTTTATTATATAGTACAATTTTTTTGAAAGTTTTGGTCTTGGAAGTGTGTTAAATTTTATCATAATTTTGATGTTATATGATCATATTGAAAGACCTGAGGTAATCAGGCTTCAGGCTGAATACCCTGGTGACGTCCCGAGCTCAATAACCAGACAGTTGGATGCAAACCGCAAGAGGTTTATTGTTTACACAGGCGTCTGTGGGCTATTCAGCAGCTTAGCTAACTGAATGTGCCAGGCCCTAGGACAGTTTTCTTTTTATATACATACTTTTGGCAAGCAAAGTAATAGGGGGGTTGTCAGAAGTGGAGCTACTGCAGGTGCAGATCTGGGCAAGCAATAGGGGATTGTCAGAAGCGCGGACATAACTCATCCTCCCTGGAGAAACCACAAGGTCAGATGTACACTTATCTCTACAGCCTGTCGGTTTCCTTCGTTAGCACTCTGGACCCGATGTTCTTTCTAATCAGACCTTGTTCCCTGCCTAGGGGAAGGGACCTTGGGGAATTTTCCACTGAGGTGACCTTCTGAGTCTCAAAAAAGGGGGGATGTGTTGAGGTTTTTCAATATTATTTTATACTTTATTCTTTTACATGTAAACAATTATGCGTATGGAACCCTGTTTACAACTGTCATATAAATCCCTCTTGATCGCTGTGCATAGCATTTTAAAATTGTTGTTGAATTTATTTTTCTAATATATAGTAGTGTTTCCAGCCATAACTATTAAATATATAGGCTTATAGTTTTCTTCAATTTTTGTAGCCTGTTGATGTACAATCATGGTAATGATGACATCATAAATAGAGCATTATGGTGTGTGTAACATGAATAATAAAGACCCAGAGACAGATATTGGGGTTCAAGCTGATGGTCGGATAAGCAAAGCAGCAAGTCATTACCTCTTCCTCCGACTCAAAGTGTGTTCCTGGCCCCAGGAAACCTCAGAGTACCATGCTCCTTCTACAAATCCTTAGAGACAATAGTTCTTCTTGTCTGGAAACTAAATCTCCATGTGAGACCCTTTGCTTCTTCCTTTTACACCTTCCTAGTACTGAGATTAAAGGTGTGTGATCCCAAGTACTGAGATCAAAGGCATGAGCTCTGTTACTCTTCACTCTTGTGTAGGCCACAGTGGCGTTAAACTCAGAGAGATCTGTCTGCCTGTCTCCTGAGTCTTGGGATTAAAGGTACATGCCACCATTCCCTGGCTTTATGGTTTGCTAGTATGGCTGCTGGGATTAAAGTTATGTATTACCACGGACTGGCTCTATGGCTTGTGGATAGCTTTGCATTCTGAACACTCAGGCAAGCTTTAATAAATCGTATGTCATATATCCCACATTGTGGTGTATTTTAGATTTGATAAATGTTTGGTACTAGGATTTCCAGTAACAAGCTTGGATACACACTAAAAATATGAAGTTTTGGAATTTGAAAAATGTCTGAAGGATTTTTGAAATTCTTGGTAGAACAAGTCTGTAGGTCTTTTTTGTTTGTTTGTTTGGTTGGTTGGTTGTTTTTTTTTTCGTTTTTGAGACAAGGTTTCTCTGTGGCTTTGGAGGTTGTTCTGGAACTAGCTCTTGTAGACCAGGCTGGTCTCAAACTCACGGCTGCAGGTGAAGCTGGCCATGGTAGTACAGGCCTTTGATCCCATCACTTTGTGAGACAATGTCAAATGGATCTCTGTGAGTTCAAAGACAACCTGGTCTACAAAGCGAATTCCAGTACAGGTTCCAAAGCTACACAGAGAAACCCTGTCTCGAAAAACCAAAAAGTATATAAATAAATAAATAAAATTGCAGCTTAAAGGTGATTTTCATGCAATCTCACAGAAAAAGTGAAGAACAGCTGGGCGGTGTTGGCGCACGCCTTTAATCCCAGCACTCGGAGGCAGAGGCAGGCGGATCTCTGTGAGTTCGAGGCTGGGCTGGACCGACAGTCTCCAAAACAATAAAGAGAAACCCTGTCTCGTAAAAACCACAAAAAAAGTGAAGAACATGATATTGGAATTATAGAAAATGATCCTTGACAAAATGATAGACAACTGAACTCTGTTATATTGAATATATTGAATATAAAATAAAATGAACTTTGATATTTATTTGAGAAAACTCTTTTAACATTACTATTACTGTTTATTAATTAGTCTTTATAATGGGCTTTGTTGTGAGTTTTTAAAATTTTTGTTGTTGTTGTGAGTTTTTACATGAATGTAATATATTTTGATGATAATCACCTCCCCTCCATTATCTGAGGAATTTCATACCTGAAAGGGAGAGTGTAGACTAGAAAAAGGCCAGCTAAAGGAGGTAAAGGAAAAGAGGGAGACAGAATAGATGTCAGGAGGGCAATATTATATACCTTAACCAAAAAGGGGAACATGGTATCATGTGTACAGAACAGATTTTTCTTCCAAGGATTCAGTAACTACACCTTCAACTTCTTGTTGTCCTTGAGGGTCAGGAGTAACCATACCTCAGGCCAGGTCTTTTGTTATTTAGATAAGACACACAAGGCCAAGATTGAACATCCTAAGGTAGCTACCTACGCCTTTGACCTTTAGTTCTTATGACTTACTGAGGACAGTTTTGAACTCTCTGCCCTTGAGCCAAGATGGAGTGGAGTCATCTTTATGGTCACTGACAATTTTTCTTACTGATTGTGGCAAAATAGGAAAGAAAGAAGTAAATTGAAAAAGATTGTTGTTAAATAAAAGGGATACAAATATGGATATTTAGAATATACACATTATATTAAAAACATATTCTATCAAGTATACCAAAAATGTGGTTGGACAACTTTATAAAGACACAGTTACTGAAATAATGAGAAATATTCTGTAGTTTGGATCTTAGCTATTGTTTAAGGACCTGTATTATAAAGGCTCAGTTCCCAGTATGACACTATGAGAAACATTAAAAGATTTAGCATACTGGAAGTTTATCAGGTCATATGGTATGTTATTCTTCCTAGCTTGCTCAGTCTGTGTCTTAGTTAGGGCTTCTATTGCTATGAAGAGACACCATGATCACAGCAGCTCTTATAAAGATAAAGAAAAACAGTTAATTAAGGTGGGGATTTACAGTTTCAGAGGTTTAGTCCATTGTCATCATGGTGGGGTGCAGGCAGACATGGTGCTGCAGAGGTATTTAGGAGTTCTACATCTTGCACAGCAACAGGAAGTGGCCTAAGAGACTGAGCAGTATCTTGAGCATATAGAAGACCTCAAAGCCCACTTCCACAGTGACATACTTCCTCCAACAAGGCCACACCTATTCCAACAAAGCCACACTTCCTAATAGTGCTATTCTCTTAGGGAGTCATTTTCTTTCGAACTGCCACAGCATGCTTTCTTCCACAACTCAGGACCACCTGCCCAGGGTTGGTAACACATGTGTATTGGCTTTCTTTACACAATATAGATATTCTGTCTTTTATTTTTGAAGGCTTTAACTTATTTGTTTGTGATTATTGTTATTTAATAAAGAAACTCACAGCTGAGTTTGACTGGAGTCTCAGAGAAGGCTTTGAGCCTTTAGAGATAGTCAAGGAATAAATCAATGCTTTAGGTATAATGACATGGACTTGGGAGTCAGGACAGAAGGTTATAGTTTGGATCTGGAATATCCTCCATGTCTCCAAACTATTAACAACAACAACAACAACAACAACAACAACAACAAAATTGGCCTAAGATTGATGCTATTGGAAAACAGTGGAAACCTTAAGGGTGAGACATAATGGGGAGGGAGGAGTCTTTTGCTCTCTAGAGTCAGTCAGTCAAGGGGAACTGTAAGATGCTAGTTTCTTCCTATTTTTGTCTTCCAGCCATCAGATGAGTGGCTTACTCCGCTAGATGCTCCCATCAAAATGTGCTGCTTTGCTAAAGAACCAAAGCAATTGATGAAGTGTCTTCTAATCCCTGAGTCATGATAGGCATGTTCAGTTTATAATTTGCTGCTAATAGATGCAGATTAATATGGAATGTGACTAGTATATCCAACAAATGGCCAGTGGTAGCACACACCTTTAATCCTAGCACATGGGAGGCAGAGGCAGGCTGATGGATCTCTGTGAGTTCGAGGACAGCCAGGACTTTCACACAGAGAAATCCTGTCTCAAACAAACAAACAAACAAGAAAAGAAGTGGTCAAAGAAAAGATCAAATGAAGGAAGGCTGTCAGATTTCCAGGGTTCTGTGTTGATGGCCATGTCAGAGGAGCTCCAGTCACCAGTGGAGCTTATGGAGTTCAATTCACCAAATTGCAATGCTAAACCCTGGAGAAGCAAAGCCCCTGGGGGATGGGTTGTTTCCAGAATGCCCCCTGCTTCTGCTGTGCTTCCTTCTAGCTTGCTCTTACTGTATTTGGCATAGTGTGATTACTACGTGGAAGGATTCCACTGTATCTAGTATAGTGTGATTGTTTCATGGAAAAATGCCACGCCTCCATGGGAAATTTACTTGTACATCATAGTGAAGATGATTTTTATAACAGCAATGACACTTAGTTGAATCAGTTATTTAATTGAACTTTCTGAGTCAGCAGAAAAAATACAGGTGACTAAGACAGTTAGTGGAAATATTTAGGGAAATGGCGTAGGTTAGTCTGTTAATTGCTCTAAGAGATCCTCAAAAAAGGCAAAAATAGGCTAGAAGCTACCTTCCCCTTTTTTAGATATGAAATTTGTTCAGGATAAAAAGTTAGAGCAAGGAAATTCCATGCATTATAGATCCATGAATTCTGGCTGTGGAAAAACAGGCTGATGGTTAAAGAAAACAATCATGTTCCTATACCCAGGTTATGCCTGAGTTCCTTTGTCATATAGCTTATAGAATTAATCACAGGTTTAGGTATGTACCTTAAAAAACAAAGTTGTGAAAGGAAATTAAATGACCCTATTATTGGTAAAGAAAAATAGATGATTAGCTAACCACTTGTTTAAAGTTTTGTAGAATAGAATAGGAATCTGTTACAATGAAACGGCAAACAACTGCCTGCCAGTCCAAAAGGAACTGGGTAAAATACAATTGACCTGCTTAAAACTTCACTAATCAATCATAAAAGAATCATTACTTTGGGATAAAAATGTTATGGTGGGAAAATTAATGCAAAGGAAAATGTTTAACTACTTGTGGCCGTCTAAGAAAAACATATAACTTGTGGTTATAATGTGATTTCTTCCTGTGTAAAGATCTTAATTTGTTTTTGGAAAATATTTAACTTGTGGTTGTGAGGCAGTCTTTTCTTGCATAGAAATTTTTGTTTTAGAAGGTATAAAAGGGATAAGAGAAAACTAAGACAGGAAGAAAGAGAACAACAGGGA